ACCGAAGGAGAAGACAGCACAGCAGCAATGAGACTTCAATCCTTCACCTTCACCTTCAAGCTTTCTCCATTTTCCATTCTCCAACCCCTCTGTAAAACCTCAAAGGTTCAGTCGACCTTATTCTACCCTTCATGTTGCAATTTCCATCACCTCCATTACAGTGCCCGGCTGCCGCTTCTCGTCCGAGCGCTTTCTTCAATCACCGCGGCTACTCTTCAACCTGCCTCCAGCACCGCCACCGCCGCCACCTACTCCGATGAAACCAAAGGTATGATTTTCTCTCTTAGCTTACGAAAGCCGCAGTTTGTTTCTTTGTCGATCTCTATAGTGGGCTGTGGCGATTTGTTTAGTTGTGAAGGCGCCTCAATGGAAAGCGGCCATAGATTTCAAGTGGATTAGGGATAACAAGGAAGCCGTTGTCGCCAATATTAGGAATCGCAATTCAAATGCTAATCTGGACCTTGTTCTTGAGCTTTATGATAAACTATTGAATCTTCAGAAGGTCAGGTTTCCACCGATTACATTCTCGATAAGCAGCATTTTTCAGTGGTTTGAATTCTCTCATTATATGTGTAATCCATTTTTTTTTTTATGTCCATTGCATATGGAGCTGGAAGAGTCATTGTTGACAATTCTCCGAGCATAGTGTCAATAATGGACTAGATCAAAATGACTCAATTAAATTCTAGTGCTTCTTCTACTAGTGCAGTTTCTAGAAAAAAAATATATCGAACGACGCAACGCACCTTAGGTCGCTATGGAAACAGCCTCCTTGTATAATTACAAGGGTAAGGTCTGCGTACAACTGACCCCACAGACCCCAACCTGTTGGGAATATACTGGGTGTTGGGAATATACTGGGTATGTTGATGTTGATGTTGATGTTGATGCACGTCAATGAGTAATGTTAAACCTAATAACTAGTAAAAATTTATAATCTATGAAGTTAATCAAAGATCACACATTTTGGTTGGGTCAAGCCTGACATCCCAATGCACGACATCCCAATGCACAGTTAGTTCTTTTAGCTAATTGTTTCTAACAGATTACAGGAAGTTGAAAAGCTTCGTGCTGAGAGAAATGCCGTTGCAAACAAGATGAAGGGTAAACTGGAACCAGCTGAGCGGCATAAACTCATTGAAGAAGGTTACCTATTGTAGTTTTATGCATAACCTTATAATCAAATTTCAATTTTTCGATTATTCATTCTAAGTATGTTTGTTTAGGTAAGATTCTCAAGGATAAGCTTGTTACACTTGAAGAGGACCTACTCAAACTGACAGATGAACTCCAGCAGGAGGCACAGTCTGTGCCAAATATGACTCATCCAAATGCTCCTGTCGGTGGGGAAGAATGTTCTTCTGTGAGAAAACAGGTAAATAATTCGCTTGGGCTGATATGTAGCAGACATAAAGGTGCTCTGGCTCTGGGCGTCTCTTTTTGTTTGTTGGTTTGTTTCTTACATTTTGTTTAATTTTTCTGTCTGTTTTTTCCTGTGCTTTGTAGTTTGGCAAACCCAGAGAGTTTAGCTTCTCGATAAGGGATCATGTCCAACTTGGAAAGGACTTAGATCTGTTCGATTTTGATGCTGCTGCTGAGGTAATTGATCTTTCCACTAGAGGTCTAGTAGTTCTGGGTATTAAAATCATCTTCCCCCAAAGGCCAAATAGAATAGAGCAAATTAAGATAAATTAGCCTGGCAATTAATTGTTTAATTACTCGTTCATTTTTTTTTATTTATATATATATATATATTTTTTGTAATTAGTTTCCTTTACGTGTATTAATTTATCTGTGCGACATCTTATTACAACAGGTAAGCGGGTCGAAATTCTATTACCTGAAGAATGAAGCAGTTATGTTAGAGCTGGCACTTGTAAACTGGGCTGTGGCGGAGGTAATGAAAAGGGGCTTTGTACCGCTTACCACGCCAGAAATTGTGCGATCTTCCGTGGTGGAAAAATGTGGGTTTCAACCACGTGGAACTAACACTCAGGTTTGTTTTCTCACTAACTTATTAATCTTCAACAGTCACTCTGCTTCTTTTTGTGCCCCTCTATTTCACATATATACTTTGAAGACCTTTTTGTTGATGATGACCTACTGATTTTATAATTCTCACATGAGAAAAGATTGTTTTCCACCTTTGGAAGATATAATAGTCCTGAATTTTCGGTGTATAACATATTATTCATTGAAGAAGAGGTTGGGGTACAACGCCCAATTTTTAACTCTAGTTGTACTCTATGTTATTCGAACAATATTTGCTCATGTGATTACAAATAGGCTTATGTAACTTGAAAAACTTATATGTAAAACCAGTTTTTCTTCATATATGCTACTAAGCCGCTTCCTGTATCTGTTGTGTGATTTTGGGTTATTACTCATTGAATCTTTAGTGAAATGTCTGATATCCTGAAACTTCTTAATTCACTTTCACCGTTTAATGTATGCAAATTATGTATTATTTCTGTGTCTTCCAATCTGTTAGCTATGTGATCCATGATTAGTGAAGAAGGCTGGCATGAACCAAGTAATTTCCTTATTGGTAATAGATGCTGTCCTGACAGGTATATTCAATTGATGGTAGTGATCAATGCCTCATTGGTACAGCCGAGATTCCAGTTGGGGGAATACATATGAACTCCATTATTTCTGATTCATCATTGCCCCTGAAGTATGTAGCCTTTTCCCATTGCTTCAGAACGGAAGCTGGTGCAGCTGGCGCTGCAACTAGGTAAAGCTTTTAACTTGTTGAAAGGTCAAATGATTTTTTCTAAATGATGAAGTTCTTTATGTTTGGCTTCTTGCAATTGTCGTTCACTGTCTTTCTAACCCATATTAATTGTTCTCTACTTTTCATTTGTCCCGTGGGCTATACTGATTGGTTTGTGTAAACTGGGAGCTGCAGGGGCCTTTATCGAGTTCACCAATTTAGCAAGGTGGAGATGTTCATCTTATGTAGGCCAGAGGAAAGTGATTCCTTCCATGAAGAACTTATTCAAATCGAAGAAGACCTGTTTTCATCGTTGGGGCTTCATTTTAAGTGTGTATTCCGCCTCACTTTTCACTTTTCAGTTTGAGTGATTTTTTTTTTTCTCTTTTCTAGAAATAAAATTAACAAAATCCAAAAATAAAGTTGTTTAGATTCTTATGTTGCTTCTTTGTAGAACCATGGACATGGCAACAGAGGATTTAGGTGCACCAGCTTATCGTAAATTTGACGTGGAGGCCTGGATGCCCGGTTTGGGAAGATATGGTGAGGTATGGTACTAGTTGTCTGGCTGCTGTCCATGAGATATTAGTCCCTTATGGGCCAGTTGTCTGTTGTCGATCTAAAACCTCCTCTTTGTGGTTTGGTTGTGCCTTAATCCACATTCATACAACCTGACTTACGTAAATTACAAAATCACTTATGAGGTTTCTTCATATTTTCCTTTACCCAAAAAAAAAAGAAGAAAAAAAAAAGTTATCTTTTCAAAATTACATATACCAAAATGCCTTCCTGAAGTTTGTTTCTGTTTTACAAGTACGCCTGCGAAGTTGATTTTTGTCAATGAGCATCCGTGTTCACGGGTGATTTTGTTAGAAAAAGAGAGCAAATATCAAAGATAATATAATAGTTTGAAACAAAGTTTGGGTGTGATTGTGTCAGATGCGATACATCCTTGGTATAAATTTATGTAGTAAGATTTTCTAGGAACAATACACGCAGTCAACCCAGCTAATTAGAGAATTATGTTGTTTGTAAACAACTAAACACAGATCTCGAGTGCCTCTAATTGTACCGACTACCAAAGCAGACGGCTCGGAATTCGATACCGTCCCGAATCATCAAATTCGAATGCTCCTAAAAAGGGTAAAGGCAGTTCTGCCCCTACGCAGTTTATCCACACACTAAATGCAACAGCATGTGCAGTTCCAAGAATGATCATTTGCTTGCTTGAGAATTACCAACAAGAGAATGGTTCCGTTGTTATACCAGAGCCATTGAGGCCATTCATGGGTGGCATTGAGATTATTACACCTAAATATAAGTAGGTGCTCTAGAATTTTTGGTTTGTGACTCGGTGCAATCTTTGATTTTCATTATAGTTCAATTTTCTGTGACATGTAACTTCGAGTTGAGGTTGTTTTTGGGATACAATTGGCTGCTCGTGACCGTACATAGGATGGGTCCCAGTCTCATGCGATACATTCTAGTTAAATAGTAACTGTTGTTAGATAGATCAATAGGTAGGCATACTTTCATACACAAGTGTCATACTTAAAATAACAATATAAAGTATAAGTATGCATTAAAAAATCTAGTGATTAGATGGTGGAATCAAACAAGTCTACATTTTTCCATAAGGGAATTGGTCGGGCTCTTGTGAAATTAGCGCTCAGTGAAAGAAATAAGAATAAATTACAACCATTCGATCAAATAATCCAACAGTTAAAAAAAATATCAATTGTTTATACTCTGCTAAAAACAAAAACCCCAAATACGCATAAAACGACGACATCTGCCTCCTAAACTTACTAGCATAAGAAACGACACCTATTACAACTGAAAGACGCGCAAAATGAAAAACGGGTAGCAACTTACCAATACCACGACTAATATAACTACCTTCTGCATAAAAAGAAAACAGAAGCTAAAACACTCCATTACTCGGTATGCTCACATTTTCTACAAATATGCTACGATTCAATAAATTTTATTATGAACCATATTATAATGCAGTCGTACTCTCCTGCTCTCAATTGACATGATAAATATGTCAATCAGTTAATAATGATATGATATTAATATATCTCAGAGTCGAAAGTTCACGAAATCTTAACACGTAGGTGATAAATGCCCTTTTTGTTAATGTAAAAAATAGTTTGCATTTATGTACTCCATTACTCGCATTGTTTCCTTTAAAACAAAACTCACAAGTCCTAGGAGCAAAAACTATAAATAAATTGTTGAGAGAAGATGACAATATGTCATACGAATTAAAAAAACGAGAAAAATAAACAACACAAGATTTACGTGGTTCGGCAATATCGCTCGATCGCTCTTTCCTCGCTACGTTATGCTCTCAGACATCACACTGCCTTCTTCCCTTGTTAATATATGAGCCATATCAACATAAATTAATACAGTAAAACCCGTAAATTGCGAGACAACGGACTATAAAACCCCACAAGTTGGCAGTAATCGACGGAGTGGAGCAAAATCGGAGGAGGGGCGCTTGGAAGTTACGGGCTGTGCATGCAGGACACTAGGCAAATGATCCCTCCTTCGATTCTCTGTTTATATCATCACCGTTCGGCTGTATTTTAGTCCGCACATCTTTAGTTTTCCGTTTTTTCTGCATTTGTGAAAATTGAAGTTGTTTGTCGTCGGAGCTTTTTGTGGGCTGATGGGACTCGTTTTCTTTCTTTTTCTACTTTTCTCGGTAATGGATTTTGGGTTCGCCTCTTTCCTTAATCTCTTCTCTTTCGCCTATATTTGGTTGTAATAGGTGAATTATAGAAATGGGTTCTGCTAGTCTTGACGAATCTTCACAGAAAGCGATTGAGGGTGACTTGGTTGAGACTGGGGAAAAGCTTCTTGCAACTCCATCATCAACTAATGAGCTACTTGTACTCCTCGAGGTATATGCCCTTTCACATTTGGGGCTCACATTGGCATGATTGTGTGTGTGTGTGTGTGTGTGTGTGTGTGTGTGATTCTGTCTGTCATTTATGTGTATATATGCAAAAACTCTTGCTTTATTTAGGTTGGGAACAGAACACCTGTTACTGAGTGTAAATAGGAACTTATATTTATGCCTGCGCAGTGAAACTAAATGTGGAAAGACCGATTTATTCTGTCATATCTCAGTTGGTATTATTCACATATGTAAAGATAAGTCTTGTTCTCTTATTCAGTTTTGTGTGTGTGTGTAAGTCTCTGGCATATTTAAATGTTGATGATTGTTACATGTGGGAAGTGGCTATTTATGTTCATATAGACTCAATTTTCTATAAATTCATCCCCTACTCGTGTTACATTCTTGTGGCAAGTGTTTCCTATTGTAGAGAACCTATGCATGCACAAAGGTTGATCTAGTTCACCCCTTCAGTGTTTACATTTGTTAATGCTCAGGTGTAATTATATTTGCTGGAATGGTCCCCCAGCTTAAAGAATAACATTACCTTCAAAAACTTCTTCTGGTTTGATTTCTGTTGTAGCATTGGTGTGTGACGTCTTGGGGTGGGTTGTTATTCGTAGAATGAGGAACAGGGAAAACTTATGCTTCCCTGTGCATTTCTGTTTTGTGATGATCCACTTGCACCACTTCTGTTGTATTCAACTGCAAACCTGCATACAATGTCTTGATTTATAATGTAATAAATTCCACTTCTTTGCTTCTTAGGCATTTTGACAACTCATATTGTTTCAGTAGGATAGGAAAAATGTATTCATTACATCTCCTCCTTGACCTTACTATTGTTGGTATTCTTGTTTTTTCCGGAATTCTAATTTTTTCCAACCTATCTGTTTTCTATTTGCCTACATATAGTTAGTCTTATGTTTATTCTTTCAGAAAGCAGAAAGCCTTTTAGCTAAGGTTTGGCAACGGCCTCCTGTGTCTACATGTTATGCACTTCTTCCAGCAATGAAGGCTCTTATAACTGATGATATATTGCGCCACAATGATTTAAAAGTCCAAGTTGTGGTTGCATCTTGTTTTAATGAGCTAACCAGAATCACTTGTCCAGATCCCCCTTATGGTGATGATGTCATGATGGTATGCAGATACTTTTTCACTTCAATCTCTATTGAAAATTATATAACTTCTCCAATTCCATCATCTTCACTCCCCACTTCAATCTCTATTTTGTATGGTGGTGACAGGGGATTTTCCAGTTATTCATGATTGCATTTGGGCAATTATCATGCAAGCCTGGTCAAAATTATTCCAGGGCTGTTCAGATTGTCGAGACTATGGCAAAAGTAAGATCGTTCTTGATGCTTCTGGACATAGATACTAATGGGAATTTTGTGGTCGAGATGTTCCATCTTTTTTTAAGTAATATAAGGTAAGTATGCGAGAGGCGGGTTCTTAGTTTAGTCCTTTTTTCTGCTTATGTAGAGGTTCTATTGTGAAAATATCCAAGTGTAGCTGGGTTGTACCCAAGATTTGATCTTGAGTGCAATCTCAATTTCTTTTGTTAATCTGTATTAGTAATATTTAAATTGTGTTGAAGGTCCAATCACCTTTCTGATATCTTCAAATACATGGAAATGATCATGACCTCGGTCATACAAGAAAGCGATGAAATTTCATCTGAACTTCTAAGGCCCCTTTTGGCGAGTGTGAAAACGGAGAATAAGGTTATATGATACCCTTCTTAATCTTTTCTACTATTGTACTATTCTGTGGACATTCTTGTTCTTTCTGCTGATTTTATTACTAATATCCTCGTTGCAGAACTCTTCACCTATTTCATGGGAGTTGGGGAAGAAAGTCTTCGAAAATTGCGCGACCAAGCTCCCGAGTTATCTGAGGGAAGCTGTGAAGGAAATGAATCTGGATCTTGCCGACTATGCTGTGATAGTCTCTTCTATATGTCATTTTATGAGCCATGATTCGTCCAATGGGAAGAACATGGTTTGTTTTTCAGTTCTTTTACATGTACTATCTGAAATTTTAAGCTGTGTTGTGTTATGTTCTTTCTGCTGATGCGAGTCGCATGCCTTGATCCCGTTCTATTTTAGTTTGTTACAGTCATGGGTTGAGTTACCCCGGAGACCGATTTGGTGTTCAAGGTTTGCGAACATTGTTGGTAGCATGTCAACTTTAACGTTAATGGTTTTCCTATATAGAGTAAATGCTATTTAGTGAAACAGACTATGCCTGGAAGTTGTTGTTGTTGTTGTTGTTTTTTTTATTTTTTTTTTTTATTTTTTTTTTTTTTAAAAAAAACGTAAATATAGGCAAATGTAGAGAAGTATAGATCACAAGCCAATCAACTTACTTTACTTAGAACTAGAAATGACTATCCAAGCATATGTTATTTTGCAGTATGTTAATTTATGTCTATTCAGATATCACAGCAGCCAAAATAATAGTTTTTTTTTGCGATATTGTGTTGTGTCAAATTAGGTCTCAAGCAAAGCTTCACGGACTGTTGGTGACCATGAGTCCCAGTTAGATGGACTTTCTGAGGATGAAGACAAATTCTGTGATGCTGAAGCCAATGATGACCATGAAACTAAACCGAATGATGAAAATTCATTAGGAACCCCAAAGGACCGTCAGCTGCTTGCCCAATCGGGGCCAGACTCAGGTTCTCTTCGGAGTAGAAGGGGAAGAAAACCTAATACTGTGGTAAGACCTGAGGAGGGGGACAAACATGTTTGGTCGAGAGGAGGCAATTATTCTGATGAATCATTTGATGATTATTATGATGGCAAAGATGATTCGGATTTGGTGCCAGAAAAGGGAAATGCAAGCATATTTAGCAATTCATCAAGGAAAAAAAATAATGATTGTGTCCATGAAGTGAGTCTCAGCGAAAGGGGTCAGTTGAAAAAGGAAAGAACGATAAACCAACCCAATAACTCGAAGTTGTCGTCAACTGTTAAAAAGAAGAGCCTGCAAACTATTGAGAAAGATAATAAGACTATTGGTGAATCGAGTAACGTTAAGGCGAAGTTGGGAAAAAAAGTCCTCGGCAATACCCGTGTTGGAGGGGAACATGAGTTGTTACCTCATGAGAAGAAAGAGAAGAAAAAATTTTCCCAGAAAAATGCTCATAAAAATGGAGGCAAGGTAATTAAACTGTAACCTTTGTTAATGCCGATGGCTTCTGTTGTTAGTTATTCGATTTTAGTCCTATGGAAGCCTGTGAAAGCGGAGTCCCTGAGGAAAAACAAGGATATGGATCATTTTATCATAGCTGTGCTGTAAAATTAAATATCCTGCACTAAAATTTTCTTGGAAATTTATGATTCCAATGCAGAAGTCTAGAAGACCCCAAGTTGCTGATGGGGAGGAATTAGTTAATAGAAGGATACAGGTCTGGTGGCCAATGGATGAAACGTGAGTAGCACTCGTTGAAATGATCTCATTCTCGCAGTTTGTTTATGGTCCTATCATCATATGATTCATTTAATTTCTTGTGTTGCAATAGAATGACTGTGAATTAACCTTAATCATGTTCCATGTTTTCTATGAGAGTAGCATTTAAATTTTTAGACAATCCCCCAGGAATCCCACTGCTACTCTCCATTCCCTGAAAAGAGAAAAAACAAGTTGTCCCTCTCCTCCTTGCCCTCTTTCCAAGAAGTTCTCTGTTGGGTCTTTTGTTTGTTTGATGGTGTCGAAAGTGCTTCCTGATTTGGCATTTTTTTTTGTTATTGCACGAAACTTGGCTATACGGATTGGGTGTCGCGGGTTTAAAATGCTCGAGTAACCTTTATTGCATTTACTTTATGTGTATATTAGCCTCTCTTGAATTAGTAACTATGATTCCATTAAATGTACCCTTATATGTTTTTATCAAGAGATATAACTACCTATGCATGCCAACTTGAAGGCTTACCCGCTCTCAGATGCACACTTTATCTAGGTTCTCTTTGGGTAATTGCTTCTTAAGTTGTCGTGTTTTTTCTTGCCATCATTTTGCCCCTGCAGAATGACAAACTTTTTCTCATATTCAAGAGTCTGCATTGCAGGTTTTATCCGGGGACTGTTACAGCTTTTGATCCAGACACAAAGAAGCACACAGTTATGAGATACTTTTTTCTCTTCTCCTCTTTTTGCTTCCATGTACTTGAGCTATCATCTGTATATAGCTCGAGTAATTTTTCTTTTTTAACGAAATTAAAATATGATTTTTTTTTTTCTTGAGCTTCTTAATTAGGCCACTTTTTCTGTTAATTAACTCTAGAGATGATATCTTCTTCGTTTATTACTCTGAACATGCATTTTGCCGTACTTTCTCTGGGTCATTGCGGAGATTTACTCTAATTATTTACTTGGCTATTTTCATGCAGATTTTATATGATGATAATGAAACTGAAATCTTGAACCTGAGAAAAGAAACCTGGGGACTGTGTTCAGGCGAGCGGCCTGCACTAGTATGATCCTTTCAAATATATTTGGACTATAGGCTTCCCATGCAGTTATGCGATCAGTTCATTCTAATTAGTTTTCTGATGTAACCTTACTGTGCAAATTTAATTTTTTGACAAAGCCCTCACAGATGGAAGAAGCTGATCTCCAGTCACCTGTTCAACAATCAGTCAAGTAAGTTTTAGTTTCAAAGTTGCAAATTTCTGACCAGTGAATGTTTCTATTCTATCATTTTTGTACTGTTTTATTACCCTTGGTTGTTTTTATTATGAAACAAGCTCCTGCTCCTGAAAGTAAATTCCTTATTAATTGAAGTTTGAAAGTGATTCTTGATTATGTTTAGTTGAAACCATTGCATTTTCTCCTGCTTTAGGACATTCATAGCTGTATGCTTTAGTTCAAAGCTCAAAACTAACATCATATCTTGGTTCAAGTGGCTGGCATACTTCAGGACTTCTTGAATATTTCTTCATCCACTAACTATATAATCAACTGTGTCACAAGTTTGCCTGCTTTGATTTGATTTTTTT